TGTCCCTTCAGTCAGTCTCCCGAGCGTGTGGGGAACTGGGATACAGTAAAGAGGGTGTACCGCGAATATTACGCCGCCGCCGCCGCCGCGAGACACACGACTCACTTGCGCATGCCCGTTTCTTCCAGCACGGTCCTCAGCAGCTCTGGCACGGTCTGGGTTGCCGAGGCCACCCTCAGCCTGCACAGCAGCCTCGCGAACACCCGGAGCTTGTTCGCCTGGGCCTTCGTCGGCCCCTCGATCTCGTCCCCCCTCTCCGAGAACGCCTCCCTCAGGGCCCTCACCGGGAGGGGGGGGGGGGTCCTACGCGTCGGAGAGGAGCGGCGATGCCCGTGTGTTCATGGAACAGCGAAAGAGGGTGGAAAGCGCGAAGTATCCCGTGCCGGCCTTGACGGACGGAGGGCGGCGATTGGCCAGAGAGTCGGGGGAAGGGGTGGACACGTCGTGGGCGGCGAAGCTGGCGAAGGCCGCGCCTAAAACGCCGGGGCCCCCGCGGGGAGTTGTGGTCGGAGCACAGGTGAGAGGGCAGTGCCGGTGGTGGTGCCAGGAGGAGGGGGGGGGGTGGAAAGGTGAAGGTCCCGTTTGTTACTGATGACGGAGATTTGTTGTGGCCTGTGGGCAGGTGGAGAGAAGGCTGTCGACGCCTTCAAGCGGGGGGGGGTCAGGAGGCGTGCTGAAGCTTAGCGCTCGGTGGAGAAAGGAGATACCCTGTGTTTTGGGACATGTCCCCATTTCTTTGCAAACAACCTTCGTGCTTGGTTTGGGGACGCATTGAACCTTTCTTCAAAATTGATCGGAACATACTGTTTCAAATATTCATCATGATCGGTGTTGCTGTATGGCCCGGCAACGAGTGAAAGTTATGCTTGTGCACAAGCATAGTTATGATTTTGCACAAGCATGTTTTTCAAGCCATGCTCCGTCTCGAAGAGGCTCTAGGCGTAGGCGTTGTCATGAAGAACTGCTGACAATAAATAGCGTACCCGAGGAAGGGAGGTAGCAAGCCGATTTTCATCACCCTACTCCTGAAAAGTCCCTCACCTTTCAACGAGACGGGAATTATTTTCGAAGTCAGCAAATCCAAAAGGTTAAGTTGACTTGTTTTTTCGCCGGCCATCAGTCTGCGGTTTGCTTGTTTTTTGGGTTTGCGTGATTCGAGTACCGTTATTTCGCGCCCTCACGCACAGCATGCTTTTTCATTGGGCTTGTTCGGCACAAATGCTGTGAGGGCTGATTTGACGTGAAAAACAAGAAAAAAAATATTTTTTTTGTCGACGACGTGCTGGATTGGGAAGACCATGCGGGCACAAACGGACGTGCTTCTATTTCCCGTGCAGAGTCGTTCAGATATATTGTCTGATTGGTGGGCCAGGGCAATAGCTGACGCCCCCCCTTGGCAGTTTGCTCTAGTCACACCTATCCTGCATTGTCTTTTTGCTTTTTTTCCGATCAAGGAGCGAAAACCTCGTCCTGACGCCCGTTCACTCACGACTTCGGCGGACGAGCGCTGGACTTGAAGATACGAAATGACTGCAATGATACCTTCGACGCAACTGGAACTGACCTCTCTCCTTTCTGTTTTGTCGAGGGGATGATGGTCATATCGATATGGTATAGTATGTCTTAGGGTGTGTACCAGCATGTACCAGCATGTCGAATACATGTAATTCTTAACGAATGTGTTTTGTCTCTTGGCAGGTGACTCATCCGATCCATGGTCCCGGGGAAGTGGTTGCCTTGGTCGAAGGCTCCGAGGGAGTGAACGTTCGCTTCATCAGCCAGGGGCAGCCGTTCCTGACCAGAGTGCTTGGCTCGAAGCTCAAGCTAGTGAGGTAGACAGATCGCGCTAACGACAACGAGCGAGTCTCTTCCAGAGCGGGCGGTGTTCGTGACGCGGTTCGTCGGACCCATCCCCGCTGGGTGTGTAGAACCAACCTACTCCGTTGTAGCTGAGAACTTGGCCGATTTGGTGGCAGCGTTTCTGGTAGGATGTGTGTATTGAGTTGCGCCACTGCTGTGGCGAAAGAATTAGGCCACTGTTTTTAGTGCTTGTGATGGGAGGTTTATGTTGGGCTGCTGTTGCTGCCGTGAAATTCACATCATGTTTGCTCTGTTTGGTGGCGTAAAGTGAAGTGTTGGTGTCGTGTTTAGCTGGAACACCCCTTTTGAACGCGGGGAAGTTGCCGAAAATTTTCACAACATCGACTAGCATGTTTTTGCATGTGTAGACGCTGTGGTTGCTGTTTGCACTGAACGGCCCGCAGCGCGTTATCAAGGAGCACTCCAGTGAGGCTGGCGTGTGTTTGTCCGCGAATGGTGATTGGGTGAGGGTCACCCTCCGCGGTAGACGTGTATGACATAAGGCGCATCTTTCCATCGGGTCATATGATGTGTGTGACATGATGAGCCAGTGCACCGGTCGGCTTTTGGAGAGAGGGAGAGGGAGAGAGAGAGAGAGAGCTTGAGGAAGGCAGCACAGATGGGCGATAAACCAAAGAAACAAAGCTACAAGAAAGCAAGATAGAACAGGGAGTGCGAGCGACCCGAGAGAGAAATCAAGCTTTCGGAACGTACGATAGAAGAAGAGAGAGAGGGGAGGGAGAGAGGGAGAGAGAGAGAGACTCTGGTAGACTTGCCGCGAAACATGTGGCAACAGAAACAGCTCTGCAGTGTTGACGACGTTGGTTCACAGGCGCGAATGCTTACAAGTGTCAGTCTGAGGGAGACAAAGTTTACACTACCGCTGAAAGAACCTCAAATTTCACAAAAACAAACGACCAAAAAAAGTCCTCGTATGCGATTCATACGCTTTGCCTTTAAATTCCGTCCAAGAAAAAAAACACGCAGCAAGGTGAACGCCATCATATTACACTGGACGCTATCATACCCCTTCCCAAGGACACTATTGGAGCGCGAAATCACGTCGACGTGGAGAACGCCGTTCACTTCTGAAGCCTTAACCTTGAACGCTGTACGCGGGCCTGGTGAAAACCCGAGGAGGCGTGTTCCTGCATTACAGTGCGGAAGAAAGCCGGTGAAGGAAAGGGGACAGGGGTTGGGGAGTACTCGGCAATCAGTGAGGGTCGCGGTGTCCGGCACAGTCAAGAGACAAACCAAGTTAACGCCTCCCTTCCCTATTTGATTCACTTTATGGCTCAAGAAGAGGGCCACGAAGCTCTCTGAGCTCGTGGGAGTCATTTGATACATAGTTGGAACCCAGCAGATTGAATCTGCGGTTGAATCACCATCTATTTCATCGAGGGAGACCAGAAGCAGCACCTAAACCACGCGATTTCTCGAAAGACAGACAGGTAGAAGCTCTTTTCACAAGGGTTAGGGTTACGGCGTCGTGTCTTGAGCACGGTCGGCTATGAACGAGCGTGTTCCGTAACACTCCAAAGCTCGGTTTTACATATTTGGTTGCCTCACCTCACAAAAGGCTATCGACGCGCGTTTAGAACGCCACCCTTCATAAACGCCGGACCAACAGAATAAACGAAATACAGGTTTCCACCCAACGATACAAACCAACCAAGGAAAAATAAAGACTGAGGTCGAGCGTGTGCGGGCGAAGTCTACGAGACGCCTATTTAGCGTATCGGGCGCACATAGTTGCTATCCTCCTGAGCTCTCCTGCAGTGGGAGAAGCAAAATGGAAAATGGCCATTGGTGTAGTCACGACAGTGCAAGTGACCCAAGTTATTGTTGTTTTCTTCACATTAAAAAAAAAAAAGTTAGGAACCGAACGTATACAAACGGGACTACCACCTGCAAAAACAAATCGCACCACAAACCCAGAAGTGTCAGCCAAATCCTCGTCACACAGGGGCTACTACCAACCTCGCACCCAACACTCTTTGTTCGTTCCGGCATATGAGTGAGAGCAGAAATAGCGCAGCGGCTCGTCTGCACCCGCAAAGACGAACACTCGGGGTTGCTGCTCACCTCCCTGTCTGAGCGTAGCACGTGCGCCCCGCAAGGACCACACCACTCCAGGCCCCCCCGTCCCACCACCGTGCGTCCCCCTTCCCCGACGACCAGCACCTCCGCTCCGTACCATTCGTCGTGTTCACTGGCACCGCCGTCAGCATCGGCTCGGCTTACAGAAGTCGCTGGTCCTGATGTTGTTGCTGCCGCCGCTGCTGCTGCTGCTGCTGTTTCCTGCGGGCGGAAACAAAACGACCAACGACAAACCGCCAACCAAAGAGCAACGAGTTTGGGGATTTCATGAGCGTTCTTTTGGCACAACAAGAGTCGTTTTCGAATGGATGTTTAATTCAACACCCAAATGCGACATCAGTACCAAAAAATGGGCTTGTTGGCACCCGGCGGGGGAATGCAGTCGTCTCTCTCTCTTCCACACTCAAAAGTCACAAAGCCGCCGTGGTGACATCCACACGTTGAACTCAGACTCAGAAAGCCAGTAGATTAGTTCACACTTAGAACTACGCCATCTCCTTGTTCTACATGGTCATGCTCAGACACGACGAATACTGACGACAGAGTACCTACGCCGGCAACACGATTTCACTCTGTCTCAGCCTGTCTGTCTGTCTGTCGTTTGTTCACTCACCCACTCACTCACGCTCACTCACACGCAACACGCATACGACATCGACGAGCTTCGACTCTCCCTCCTCGCAGCTCTATTCCTCTCCGAAACTCTCCCAACCGCTGACCCTCTCTCTCTCAGTCGCTGACTCTTGCAACATCTCACATTCACAAGTCGATCGCCTAGCCCGTCCCGCTCCAATCGCGGCGTCTGCGTGCCCCCCCCTCCTTCACGATGTCGGTGCCGCTCTTGCCGCCGCTGCGGCTGTGCTACGCGGTACGGGTTTTCCACAGGCCGGAGGCGGCGTTTCTTCCCCGACGCCGCCGCCGCTCGTGACGATTCACCATCTCCGCCAGATGTTACGGCTGCTGCGGCGGTAGCTGAATCTACCGTAGAACCGTTGATAGCCGCGCCGGAAGCAGCCACTGCCGCTACAGATCGAGGTTCGGAGGTGCATAACCGAGGAGCCGGAGCCGACAGACCGGCGGGGGAGTTGTTGCCGTCTAGCCGGGGACGGTCCATGGAATTTGAGCTCGCGGGGGCGGGCGAGGAGCTTCGTTTGTCACGAAGAGGTAGTTGGGGGGAAGGCAAAGCACTGCCTGTGCTGTGGGCGGCGGCAGTACTGTCGAAAGCAGCGGCTCCTTCATTGTTGCCACGTGTCTTTGTTTGGCTGGTGCTGCTTCGGGCGGGGCCGCTGCTGCCGCCCGTTGGACGTGAGGGCTGAGGCGCCTCGAGATATCTGAAGCAAAGGAGGGTCCCAAGACGGGATTTGCACGGGGAGGGAAGGTAACGTTGCTCGCCCTCTTGTACCATTTCACCTGAATCTCAGTTGCGAGAAAAAATCGATTTCATTTCACGAAAACATATTCACTCCCGGGCGTGGGCGAGCTCTAAAGGCACGACTGCCAAGCACGGTAGGGTAGAGAGAAGGCCACCTAAATGCATTTCATTGTCGGTTGTTTTTTCTCACAGCCTATCAGTGGAGACAGGGAAGAATATAACCCGGTGCTGCGGGAAAAATTCACTGTCCCACACATAAGATAATTCCGTACAATTGTTGATGGCACGTAGCACGACCCTCCCAAACCACCAACGCGGCATCATTGAATTGAAAAGTCACCCCCACACCCGCTATCGATCTTAAAACGTTACCGTGCGCTGATTCCAGCCAGGGGTGCAAAAACGCCTCTGCGAGAAAATCGGTCACATCGGTCTCACTACGCATATTCAGGTAGGGAAAAGAGGGACTGTGCGCGAGGGATTGTGCAAACGCCCGCGGCTTAAGGCCGACATGGGCGGTGAAGCGCAAGCGTAAGGACACCTGACACCCTCTTTCATAGCTCCAACACGTGGAAAAGGTATGCAAACATATACATAGCTGTGTCACGTACCTTGCCATCCCCGACTGCGCCCCGCCTCCAAGGCCTCGAAACCCGGCGAGGCCTACGGAGAGCAGCGTCAGATCCAGTGTCCCCTTCTCCTCCTCCTCCGGGTGGACCATCTTGTCGAACAGCGCCATCACCAGCCTCACCGCCTCGGACAAGGCTGCCTCTGTCGCCGCAGTCTCGGGCTGCTGCTTCTGCTGCAGCAGCGGGAGGAGGGGTGTCGCCGTCGTGGTTGGCGATCCCATCGGTACCGCTACCGCCGCCGCCGCCGCCGCCGCCGCCGTTGCCGTCCCTTCCGCCGCCCCCGTCATCACCATGGCTGATCTCGCCTCCGCTGCCGTCGTCCCCGCTGCCGCCGCCCCCGTCGTCATCATCATCGGCGATTCCACGGGGCCCCTATCCCCCGCTCGGGTCCCGGCGGCGGACGCTCCCGTCACCACCGCTGCTGCCGCTGCCGGCGGCAGAACTGCGAACGCCGCCGCGACGCCGGAAGACACCGGGCACTGGCGGGACACGCGGACGCCGTACCCCTTGCTAGCGCGGCGGAACCCGAACCGCAGGGTTTCCGGGGCCTCCTTGTGGAGGCGTGCGCGTTCCCCGGCGCGCTTCAGGAGCGGGATGGCGAGGCGGCGGACGTGGTGCTCCACCTGCCAGACGTGGGCAGGTAGGTCGTTGTGACAGCGGTGCGGTTGGTGTATGTGCCTTGTGGATGCCGATGGTGTAAGAGGGTGAGCGTGGGGTACAGGTAAGGCCACAAGAGCGTCCCCACATGCGATGGCGGTGTTGGGTCGTGAGCGGGGAAGGGCAAGGGCGGTTCGAAACGAGGGGTGACCGGGCGCAATTTTTTCCAAGAGAGAACTACGGTGCGGTGGGGGCACCGCACGGGAAATCGTTTCTCTCTCGCCCGAATAGAAGGTATCGCCTCGCGGTTGAAGGGAGAGAGCCTTGTCAGCACGTGTACACTGCTCTGGTTCTAGACAGGTCCGGTGGTGCTGCTGTACAAGTGAGAGCTCTCTCGGTGAAATAGAAGAAACAGGCCTGTCGATTGCGACCGCCCGGAGGTGCTGACAGATAATAGCTTGCTGGAGGCCACATCAGCGGCAGTCAAGAAAACGACGGCGGCCACGGCAACGACAACGACAACGGCAACGACAACGACAACGGCAACGACAACGGCAACGACAACGGCAACGACAACGACCACCGCCATCACCACCATCCCCACGATCACTAACACCAGCAGCAGCAGCAGCAGCAGCAGCAACAGCAGCCACAGCAGCAAAAGGAACGGCGGCGGCAGCAGCAGCAACAGCAGCAACAGCAGCAAAAGGAACGGCGGCGGCAGCAGCAGTGGCACCGCAGCTAACCACTAACCTGACGTCGCGATCGGACGGTACCACGCTTGAAGGAGTCCTCGTCGCTCATGGTCTTGGGCCGAACCGACGGCAACACAGGGGTGGAGTCTTCTCCCCTGACCAGCAACGCACGTTCGCACCCGTGTCCCTTGTCAAAAACAGCAACAACACAACTTTTCACTCTACAGCATGGAATGTTCTTTGTTTTGCTTGAATAATTACGGAAGCCGCAGCCATGACCTTGGGCGGAAAAATGCAGCCATGATCTTGGACGGACGCTTGGCACCAAGATTCGTTTAGGGCGTCAACAGGGAAAGGAAACGATAACAACACAAAGGATGCTAAAGGTTTGTCGAGAGATCTACGCAGATCCCAGATTCTTCTCGCCGGCGGAGGGTCGACTGAACGGAACGTTTTACGGACCGACGTCACAAACGCCATTTTCACACTCATCACTGACATCGTCCAAGGGCTTCACACCAAGGCCCACACGCCCCCCCCCTTCCTATCCAAACGTTTTCCTCGCCATACGCATCCCTTCTTCAGCGTTACAACGCGTCTCCCGTCCCCGTCTTGTACCGGAAACTGAGTGAATGTCACCCCTGCCATTATCCTAAGACCGTGGTGTACCGCGAGGCAATGAAACTGCCGGCCGTCCTACGTGCTTCCAGCCTGTCCAAGTGAAACCAATACATCCTCCTACGACCCGGCGCGACTCGTAAGACAACCGGGCGTCCCATGCATAAATGTCGAGGCTGGCAAACACAACAGCCCCAACCAACCGCGCTCCGTAGCGCGTGAGAGTGGATCAACCGCGCGTCCAACGCACAAACACATCCTTCGCCGTACCACGCTGCGGGACTATTATAGTGGAAGCGAAACAACCGGACCGTGCCCCAAGGGTGCCCACCCCCTCACATTAGCACCAAGGCCAGAAATCAGACCCGTAACGTGCCATCACCTGCACAGCAGGAACAGGACCCTCGCGAGCTTGGTACCCACTGCCTTGACGAGAAGAGGCCACGGGGCCCCCTGTAGTTGGCGGCTCTCCGTGATACTGCAGCAGGGAGAAGGGCGGTCGAAACGTCGACCGCGAAAACACGAATGTGATAAGAGGCGCCAGGCAATGAACGGCGTCAATACATATATACATGGGTTCACACCTGTTATGCGTTCGCCCGCGCTTTTTCGGTAGTCCAGACTCACTACCAAAGCAACCAAAGGCACAAACTGTCGAGATCTTCCTGGAATATGAACACCCGAAAGTAATCAACACGGGTTTCCAAACGGTTCTAGTCCAGAGGTATTTCAGACTGCCGGACAAGAACGAACGTGCTTGAGGCGTGCTTCAAACCACCCAGTTTCAAGAGACATCGGGGGCTGCAAAAGCAACCCAACACGAGCACACTGGCGGGCCAATTTTGAGCCACTTCTTCACCCTGGAGAAAACTCACATATTCTTCTGCGGAAATGGAGTGCTTGAAACCGTCTAGTGTAATTACTGATCAGCGATGTCGGGTGCTGCACACCTTAGACTTACACCGATACACTGTGTGCGGTCGTACTCACCCGAATTCGGTCTTAATCTTGGCGCACGTCGAGTACCCGCAACCCGGCAGCTTGCGGAGCGGGAGCTGCGTGATCATGGACATGGCGTGCCTGAGCCGCCGACAGCAATAAATACATGAGGAGAAGATATGAAAACGAAACAAGAACGAGTGGCAACATGGTCATCAGCTGAATGGCCCAAGAAGGCAATCGGAGGAACCAGTCGTGAGCGGGCCCGCACATAGGAAACGCCAAATTTGGGTTGGTGGAGGACCGGTTTCGAGAATGCAGAGAATTGACAAAAAAAAAAAAAACGAGACAGGGTGGCAACTAGTCATCATGCGATTAATTGGCCAACGGAAGAGGAACGACTCCGTAGGAGCGAATAGTGAGCGGACCCGCACAAAGAAATTCTAAACTCAGGTCGGGGCTCAATTTTCACGTTCCTGTTCCGTCGGCCACTGCTGAACACAGCGCCTAGTGCAGGATCCACCGCCTAGCTATGTAGCTCGAAACGATTTCGACTCCACACCAATGTGGGTACGGGATTTTTCGACAATGGGTACGGAATATCTCGGCTTTATTACAATAATGTGGTACGGGATATCTCATTGTTGCGGGCCCGTTCTGTAGCGATCTATCGGGAAAAAGTGAATGAGAACGACAGTGGGGTATGGGGTGGACCCATGAGGAGATGGCGTTTTTTTATGAGGTCTCGGTGACCCTCTCACTCATTGGTTAGTCAGCAGAAGCATCTTTCATGCATTTTTTTTTCACACAAGAAAGCACACAAGGAGGCCTGTCCACCGGACGACTTTCATTCTTTGGCTCACAGGATTGTTTAGGGTTCTGAAGCACGAACTGTTGTGAGGGCACACAGGAGAAGGACCAACACAAAATATCGCACTGCTCCCCTCGAACACCAAAGCATCTCCCGGGGAAAAAACCCTTGAACTTAGTGACTGAAAAACAAACACACGAGAACCAGGGAGTGAAAACTGTCACCTTACAAGAGCAAGCGAAGTCAGTTTGCGAGGCGCCAACAGAACAACACTTGAATCTTGAAAAGTACGTAATTACCGTAGCAAATTAATGAAAGTGCAACAAACGCCCGATACCCCCGTCTGTCTCATGCAACCTCACGCTACGAAAAGTCACCAAACGAAAGCTAGGCAGCTCTAGTCACACCTATTTAGCGGCTACAACGAAACCCAACATGGCACTCACAGTCATCACTTGCAACGAGACCCAAAGGCGGTGGGGTGGGGGGCATCACTACCGAAAGGGGCTCCGCAGGTATCGTGTTTACGGCGGGGAGGGCACGCGTCACTCGCTTACTCTGGAAGAATGGTCGTTTGCTGGTCGGGCTTGTGCAGCTCCCCGGCGAGCTTTGCCGTCATCTTCGAACACCCTATCCCCGCGCTGCACGTGTATCCGACCTGGTGCATCGATGCCGAGCAGCACAAAGGTTAGGGTTGGCTTGGGTGGTTGTGAGGGCGTTGAAGACTAGTGGAAGGACGGGAAACGGATGCAAAAATACTTCAACACGCCGAACGTTGATGATCATTCCGCTAAATGAAACTGAACAAGCCGCCCCTTGGTTGTCATACCGCCGCAGAGTCAAATGCCGAGACCCCATCTGCACCAAGAAAATCGATCGCACATATATTCCGAAAGGCGTGGGGGCGTAGAACGACAGCGGTCAGCCGTTCCCCTCACGACCACCAATCAATCGATGTTGGTTCCAAAAGGCTCACCGCTATGAAGAGCCCTTTCCTCACGCGCTCAGCGAACGCGCTCGCTGCTGACAACCTCTCGTGACATCCGCACCGACACCCCCCTCCCGCCCCCTCAACAACGCCGGCGGTGCCCCCACTGCCGGAGCCGCCGCCGCCGCCGCCGCCGCCTCGTGAGTCCCCGTCCTCCGGCCCGCTCAACGCGTGCTTGCTGCCGCCGACGCTGCTGCTGCCAATTTCCGACGACACGGGAGCGTTCCTCAAGCCCCTACCACTTTCCACAGACCCGGTGCTGTCCTGACTCGTGCCTTGATACTCCCCTGTTGGAACCAATCGCCCCGCCTGGGCTAGCTGCGATGATTCGGTGACTCTCGGCGGTGTCGATCGGCCCGGGTGCTGTGCCGATGGCATACCCCCGCGAGGATTGGCGGTATTGTGGCTGTGGTTGACCATGTTGCCGTTGCTGTCTGTTCCTTGCTCGCCGTTTCCGACACCGCTGCCGCCACTGCCGCTGGTAGTGTTGCCGTCGACGTTGAGAGAGATCTCGAGTCCTGTTTGTGCCTCAAGCAGGGTTCCTCCGCTGCCCGGGGAGTACAGATGCCCCGTGATGCCGTGGGGCGCTGCGGTTCCGCCGCCGCTGCTGGTGCTGCTGCTGCTGCTGCTGCTTCCGCTGAAGCCGCCACCGCCGCGGATGAGTGACGTCACGTCGGCAAAGATCTCGTCCATTCCCAGGCGCTGCACCAGGTCGCCACACACGCTCGCGATGTAACTGCCAAGACACACGCCGGACAGCAGTAGTGAAAACCCAGGGACGAACGGAGACCAAAAATAAGCGCCGGTAGCGAGATTGAGGAATCAAGGCTCTGCATATATTGTGTGCGTAGTATGTCGCCCCATTCGGTTGGACGACAGCCTTTGGAAAGCACCAGCCGGGATCACACAACAGGAAAATAACCAAACGGAAACCAAGGAAGCTTCGAAAACGAAGGCCAAGCCTCAGGCGTGAGGAAGAGCGAGCTACGCCCCACGCCAAGCACAGCGTCTTGTAAACCCTTCCTGGATCCACGAATGGTGACAACATGCGGGTACAAGGGCGCACCCATGCAGAGGAGGCCGCCCAGTCGAGTGCGTGCCGCAGGGTGAAAAAAAAACGAAGCCCGCGGAAGGGGGGGGGCACACAGACGATACCGGATGACTACGTTACCTACCTGAATATGGCACCCATGCAGAGGAGGCCGCCCAGTCGAGTGCGTGCCGCAGGGTGAAAAAAAAACGAAGCCCGCGGAAGGGGGGGGGGCACACAGACGATACCGGATGACTACGTTACCTACCTGAATATGGCCTCCGAGGCCTCTCTGTACCGGGTTAGGTCTTCGCCGTCCATGACCACCAGGCTAGGGCAGCGCCGCTTCGCCTGTGAATTATCATCGATAGTGGAACGGAAACAGCAGTTGGTCTTCTGCAGTGAGCAGTGCAAGAGGTGGTGCAACCCTTGCTAGTTTCCTCAAACCACGCAGATGTAGCTGCCGGTTGAGGTCACGCCCCAAACGGTCATCCCCAACTACCATCAGCAGTGACACTCCCTCATCCAGCTCGTGCCCACCCCACCCCCTTCATTGTGAATCGCCACGATTCTGATCAAACATTGCAATGCGCATCCCAAAGGTGGTAAAAAGAGTCAACATCCCCTGGACCGATTGATTGTCACTCGCTAGGCTACTCCACGATGAAACGGGGTGCCGCAATCAGCCGATACGTGTTCGGAAAGCTCTCGACGAGACGGTTCCAACTCAGCCGCATTCGGCATCGTTGCTGCACAGAAACGGCATCGCAAAAAATCGATCCAGCGGGCATGGCATCTTGCGTAAACAACAGCAAGCACATCCCCTCCCGTTCTTCCGCCACAGCCATAGCGGAATGGGACAGCAGCGGGGTTGGGACAGCTCACCAAAGACACGTCCCCTCCCAGTCTCTATTTGCTGAGCTGCGGACATTTCGCCGAAAACATGTCGTTCTCCGTCCAAGCGGAAAAAAAAATAGCATGCTACGGGGGAGAGCTGCTATCTATCTAGCGGCTTTCAGGTTGGGTTTCTCCCCCTCCCTTCCCCTCCTAACGAAATAGATGCATGAAACAAATAACGGTGACACCACGTACCCTACCGCTCACGCCACACACACCCTTGAGCTGTATTCTTGTAGACCAAGCGATCAAGTTCGATACCCCGCAAAGGCTCCTAGCGGCGTGGCGTCACACGCATAACATGCGGCGCCAACGAGACTATTCATAGCATCCTCCGACGCACCATTTGCTCAATACAATACCAGCTGTCAATCTACATGCACCCCCCCTCCTCATTTCTCACCAGCGATGCCTCGGCCAAGCTTCCAACCAGCTCTAAACCTACATGCCCCCCCCCCCCCCCCCCCCTTTTTTTATTTTTTTTCAAATCTTAAAAAAAAGAAACCCGGGGAAAGTCTTCATTTTGGGAAACCCGGGGGGGGTGGGGGGGGAAATGGAGGGAAAAAAAAGGGAATTTTGGCGGAAGGCGAACGGGTTGGCCCGGGACGAAAGAAAAAAGAACTTTTTCACCTGTGGGCAAAGGAGGGGGGGGGGGGGGAGAAAAGGAAAAAGGTAAATTAATATGGCGGGGTCCCAATTTTCCAAAAAATTTTTAATGGGAAGTTGAAAGGGGTTTGGCGCTCAATCTCCCGCAAAAAAAAATAACGGAAAGGCGGGGGGGGGGGGGGGGGGGGGGGGGAAAAACAAACCCCTTTTTGAAAAGGAAAAATTTTAAGGGGAAAAAAAGGCAAAACCACTCCCGGGGGGAAAAGGGGGAGAACCCCCCCAAAAAATTCTCGGTGGGGTGGGGGGGTCCTTCCCCCCCTTTTCTTTGGGGTTGGGGGAAAAGGGTTTTTTTTTTATTTAAAATTTGGGGGGGGGGG